GTGTGTGTGTGTGTGTGTGTGTGTGTGTGTGTGTGTGTGTTTGTGTATAAAAAAAAAAGTCCCTGAACCTATTTATTGGAAATTTGACATTTATCCCCTCAGATGGGACTACTTTTCTTGCACTTTTCACCCATTTCTGTCAAAGAGAATCTAGACTGTAGTTAATTTCATTTTCAGGGATGGTCAGAAGGATTACATGGACATTTGGATCCTGAATCAAGTTGGAAATTAACCCAACTGTATTGGACTGTTTTGCAATCCTTCAGAATGCAAACCAGATCTTAGTTTATAAAATATGTGATTTTTAAAATAAGTTTGGAGAATTAATTTTTGCAAGGACAGTATGCAAGTAAATGCAGGTGTTTTTTTTAAATTATTTATGTATGTATTTTGGTGTCTCCAAGTCAGCTTTTTGATTGGTGGACTGTCCTTGCCGTTTTCTTGGCAAGAATTCAGAAGTGGTTTGCCATTGCCTTTTTTCCTAGGGCTGAAAGACTGACTGGCCAAGATCACAATGTCACCACTGGCTATGAGCTCGGGGGGGATTAGAATCCTCAGTCTCCCTGGTTGTAGCTTCCTACCTTAACTGCTACACTAGATGGGCTCTGCAGGGACTCATAAGGCAATTGCTAAGACTGACTTAAGATACATGCATGCACACCCAAAAATTATAGAATTGTGATGGCACATAGAGCCCCCTCTGCTAGCATGCACATTGTTGCCCCAGGTCAGATCTCCGTGGTGTTTCTTTCGTGAGCTTCTCTTTCTCTACAAACGATGAAACAGAAGCTCACGAAAGAAAAAGATCTTGCCTCTTGCCACACTGCCAGTGTTGGGATGCCCCGCCTCCTGCCAGCCAGCTGGTCTTTGGGTCTCTGCTGCGCATGCATATACATGCGCATTTCCATGCATGCATGTTGACATATGCATACATGTTTGCATGCGCTCACACCTTTCAGTGTGGGCATGCGCGCGCAGTTTGGGCACTCGATGGCTAAAAGGTTCACCATCCCTGTTATAAAATATAATAGGCTTTTTTTTGTCCCAGGATTCTCAAGGGAAAGTCATGTTTTCAAATCTCCATGGTGGTGAGCAGCTGTTAATTCTGCACGGAAAGGGGATGATTGTTCCATACGGTGAATTTCTCAGAGAAAAAAGTTGGGCTAGAGAGGACACAATCCCTGGGAAAGATGAGTTAGTTGCCTGGGTGTCTCAGTTTCCACAGCAACCAAGAAAAAGGCAAAGGAAGCCCATTGAATTGTGAATGCAGTTAAAGAGAGATGTTTATGTTTCCATATGTGCGAGGGGAGAGGGGACGAGTAATGACCCCTTCAGCATGGCCCCTTAAGTCAACCATACTAGGCTCTCAAGTGGATCTAGCACTAAACGGATCCACTTGGAAGCTTCTTCTGAATATTACCTTCGGAGAACACAGAAAATGAAAGCGTTCATTAATAAAGGCATGTTGGCTTATGGATATATGTGCTGCATTTCCCAGCTTTGCTCTACATTAATGATACAGCATTTGGGGAGGGTACTGCGCAGTATGGAATCTTCTGGCAATTAAGGAAGAAATAAGAATGGAAAGGAAGCCCTGGAAAGTGAGGATGACAGGTGTTAACTCCTGAAGATCTTGACTCTAAGCTCCTCATAGGCAGGAACTTGTCTCTCCCCCCCCCCCCCTTGTCTTAGTTACCCGGTCAAAAGCAAATTAGAAGGTAGGAAGGCAAACCAGAGGCCCACCTACTCAGTACTCTGATTCCCACAGAGGCTTTAAAAGACCAGGCACTGGCAACCTTCTCTTCGCTGTTGATGGCCCCTAATAGCTAATAAATGTGCAATTGCTCAATTAGTCCACCTGGATCCATGAACACGTACAAAGAGAGAAGGAATGTGTATTAAAATGGCCGCTGATCTTTTGCCCCAAATCTGGGATAATCTCCTTAGAACTGTGCCCTTTGTAACTCGAGTGGGTCTCTTCTTAGGATATTGTTCCAGCCCCTGCTATCTTGCACGGTACTGCATGTTCAGCTCGTCTACAGCAGAGGAAGACAAAGGGTCAGAAACAGAATGGAAGTGGATTGTCAAGTGGGTTCTTACTCTTAACCAGTGTTTCTCAACCTTGGCAACTTTAAGTCCTTGGGACTTCAACTCCCAGTGGCTGGGGGATTCTGGGAGTTGAAGTCCACAGGACTTAAAGTTGCCAAGGTTGAGAAACACTGCTCTTAACGTTGAATTGTGGGCCGGAATAGTTGGCAAGAAGAGAAGGCTGGCACAGCAAGCAACGAAGCATGATCCAGTGACAGCAATTTGTACTGTTACAATTTTCTAGATTGTCTCTTGGTATGACCTCAGACAGGTGATAAGCTTGGAAGGTTTCCAAAAATCTAATGGGACTTGCTTTCTTCTGTTAGATACTGTTTCCAGTAAGCTCCAGAACAACAACATATATACCATTGCCAAGAGAAATGTGGAAGGCCAGGACATGCTGTACCAGTCACTGAAGCTTACCAATGGCATCTGGATCCTGGCCGAACTACGCATTCAGCCTGGCAATCCCAACTATACGGTAAGGTCTGTTGCTGAGGCAACAATGCCCTGAACCTCTAGGCCTTTGTTTGGATCTCGCTTTTCCCCTCTCGCTCTCCCCCCTCCCTCCTTCCCTCTCTCTCCCCCCTCCCTCCTTCCCTCTCTCTCCCCCTCTTCCTCTCCGCTCCCTCCCTCTCTC